TCACGGAGTATAGACTAGGGAAGGGGGGAACAATGTAGATTAATACGAAAATAATGTTAAAATTATAACCTTAATTTTTAAGGGGCGGACCGATAAACCTGCGGAAGGCCTCTGTCAGATAACCAAAAGCTCCACCTACGGGTCTTCATATGACTCAAGACCCTCGTCAGGAAACACTTGTCCTGTTTCTTGACAAACCTTACCTAACGTAAACTAGAGGCTGTAGATCTTATTCAGAGCGAGAGGGAGAGACCTGTGAGTAACCATAGGGACTATCATGTCGCTAGAAGCTCACATCAGCTGAATAAGCTCTGCTGCCAATTCTTGCCTGGCAAATCTAAGAGTGACCTCCAGGAATCTCAACAAAGAATCAGTTTGGGCGCTTTATACAACATTGGTCAGGCCATCTTGGAATATTCAGTACCGGTATGTTAAACAAAAAAAACTGGAGAAAGTGCAGAGGTATGTAACGAGATGAATTCCAGAGTTTAGGGGTATGAGCTACGAAGAGGCTAACCGAATTATTCGAACCTAACGATACCGGATAACAGATAACATCATCAAAACACTGAAGAACTGATAGGGCACACAGCGACAGGCTGTTTGAGAGGCAGGAAACGGGTACTTAGGGTACACAAATGGGCCATAGGACTGTCAGGAAGCATTTATTCAGCCTCAGAGTGGTCGGGAAGTGGAATGACTTCGATGAGGAAGTGGTGGAGGCAGACTACATACGTGGTTTTAAGAGCAGTAGGGCCCACGAGGCTAGGAGGGAGTGAATCTGGCAAGTTGAGAGTCAGAGACTAGAAGATAACTCAAACTCCTGCAACCACAGGTAGGTATGTACACACTACTGTCATTTACACATTACTTGAAACTATTTCTATACTCAAGATGTGTGTAAACGTGAGGTATACATGTATATATGTGATGCATACGTGAGGCATGCACGTGTATTCATGTGAGGTATAAATATGTATACGTGAGGTATAAACATGTATGCATGCCAGGTATACACGAGGGTGCATACGAGGTATACACGTGGGTATATACAAGGTGTACATGTACAAGTGAAATATGCACGTGTTCATGTGGGTGTACACACAGGTGTGTATTTGATACTGATGTACCCAGGTGTGTGGGTTGTGGGTGTACACCCAGGTGTGTGGGTTGTGGGTGTACACCCAGGTGTGCGGTTTGTGGGTGTGCACTCAGGTGTGTGGGTTGTGGGTGTGCACCCAGGTGTGTGGGTTGTGGGTGTGCACCCAGGTGTGTGGGTTGTGGGTGTGCACCCAGGTGTGTGGGTTGTGAGTGTACACCCAGGTGTGCGGGTTGTGAGTGTACACCCAGGTGAGCGGGTTGTGGGTGTGCATTCAGGTGTGTGGGTTGTGGGTGCGCACCTAGGTGTGCGGGTTGTGAGTGTACACCCAGGTGTGCGGGATGTGAGTGTACACCCAGGTGTGCGGGTTGTGGGTGTACACCCAGGTGTGGAGGTTGTGGGTGCACACCCAGGTGTGGGGGTTGTGGGTGTACACCCAGGTGGGGGTTGTGGGTGTACACCCAGGTGTGGGGATTGTGGGTGTACACCCAGGTGTGGGGATTGTGGGTGTACACCCAGGTGTGGGGGATTGTGGGTGTACACCCAGGTGTGGGGGGTTGTGGGTGTACACCCAGGTGTGGGGGGTTGTGGGTGTACACCCAGGTGTGGGGGTTGTGGGTGTACACCCAGGTGTGGGGGTTGTGGGTGTACACCCAGGTGTGGGGGTTGTGGGTGTACACCCAGGTTGGGGGTTGTGGGTGTACACCCAGGTGTGGGGGTTGTGGGTGTACACCCAGGTGTGGAGGTTGTGGGTGCACACCCAGGTGTGGGGGTTGTGGGTGTACACCCAGGTGTGGGGGATTGTGGGTGTACACCCAGGTGTGGGGGTTGTGGGTGTACACCCAGGTGTGGGGGGTTGTGGGTGTACACCCAGGTGTGGAGGGTTGTGGGTGTACACCCAGGTGTGGGGGGTTGTGGGTGTACACCCAGGTGTGGGTGGGTTGTGGTGGTGTACACCCAGGTGGGGGTTGTGGGTGTACACCCAGGTGTGGGGTTGTGGGTGTACACCCAGGTGTGGAGGTTGTGGGTGCACACCCAGGTGTGGGGGTTGTGGGTGTACACCCAGGTGGGGGTTGTGGGTGTACACCCAGGTGTGGGGGTTGTGGGTGTACACCCAGGTGTGGGGGATTGTGGGTGTACACCCAGGTGTGGGGGATTGTGGGTGTACACCCAGGTGTGGGGGGTTGTGGGTGTACACCCAGGTGTGGGGGGTTTGGGTGTACACCCAGGTGTGGGGGGTTGTGGGTGTACACCCAGGTGTGGGGGTTGTGGGTGTACACCCAGGTGTGGGGGGTTGTGGGTGTACACCCAGGTGTGGGGGTTGTGGGTGTACACCCAGGTGTGGGGGGTTGTGGGTGCACACCCAGGTGTGGGGGTTGTGGGTGCACACCCAGGTGTGGGGGTTGTGGGTGTACACCCAGGTGTGGGGGCTGTGGGTGTACACCCAGGTGGGGGGGTTGTGGGTGTACACCCAGGTGTGGGGGTTGTGGGTGTACACCCAGGTGTGGGGGGTTGGGGTGTACACCCAGGTGTGGTGGGTTGTGGGTGTACACCCAGGTGTGGGGGGTTGTGGGTGTACACCCAGGTGTGGGGGGGTTGTGGGTGTACACCCAGGTGTGGGGGTTGTGGGTGTACACCCAGGTGTGGGGGGGTTGTGGGTGTACACCCAGGTGTTGGGGTTGTGGGTGTACACCCAGGTGTGGGGGGGGGTTGCGGGTGTACACCCAGGTGTGGTGGGTTGTGGGTGTACACCCAGGTGTGGGGGGTTGTGGGTGTACACCCAGGTTGGGGGGTTGTGGGTGTACACCCAGGTGTGGGGGTTGTGGGTGTACACCCAGGTGTGGGGGGTTGTGGGTGTACACCCAGGTGTGGGGGTTGTGGATGTACACCCAGGTGTGGGGGGTTGTGGGTGCACACCCAGGTGTGGGGGCTGTGGGTGTACACCCAGGTGTGGGTGTACACCCAGGTGTGGGGGGCTGTGGGTGTACACCAAGGTGTGGGGGCTGTGGGTGTACACCCAGGTGTGGAGGTTGTGGGTGTACACCCAGGTGTGGTGGTTGTGGGTGTACACGCAGGTGTGCGGGTTGTGGGTGTACACCCAGGTGTGGAGGTTGTGGGTGCACACCCAGGTGTGGGGGATTGTGGGTGTACACCCAGGTGTGGGGGGTTGTGGGTGTACACCCAGGTGTGGGGGTTGTGGGTGTACACCCAGGTGTGGGGGGTTGTGGGTGTACACCCAGGTGTGGGGGGTTGTGGGTGTACACCCAGGTGTGGGGGTTGTGGGTGTACACCCAGGTGTGGGGGGTTGTGGGTGTACACCCAGGTGTGGGGGTTGTGGGTGTACACCCAGGTGTGGGGGGTTGTGGGTGTACACCCAGGTGTGGGGGTTGTGGGTGTACACCCAGGTGTGGGGGTTGTGGGTGCACACCCAGGTATGGGGGTTGTGGGTGTACACCCAGGTGTGGGGGTTGTGGGTGTACACCCAGGTGTGGGGGGTTGTGGGTGTACACCCAGGTGTGGGGGTTGTGGGTGTACACCCAGGTGTGGGGGTTGTGGGTGCACACCCAGGTGTGGGGGTTGTGGGTGCACACCCAGGTGTGGGGGCTGTGGGTGTACACCCAGGTGTGGGGGCTGTGGGTGTACACCCAGGTGTGGGGGTTGTGGGTGTACACCCAGGTGTGGGGGTTGTGGGTGTACACCCAGGTGTGGTGGTTGTGGGTGTACACCCAGGTGTGGGGGTTGTGGGTGTACACCCAGGTGTCGGGGTTGTGGGTGTACACCCAGGTGTGGGGGTTGTGGGTGTACACCCAGGTGTGGGGATTGTGGGTGTGGTAGGAATGTTACACCCAGTTCCCCGGCCCATGGCAACGCCCCTTACCGTCTCCAACATCCCCCCCCCCCTCCTCCTCCTCCATCTCTCTCCATACGTCACTACGTGTATAAGGTAGGCGTGCTTGCTGCACTCTGCCTGCCTCTTCAAGTTTGGCGTTTCTCAGATTGCTTGTAGATTAATTACTACATACCATAATGAAGTCGCACTCGCTGGCTCCCTCTCGAGAGTGCCTGTCTACTTTTGCCTTTGTAGATGAATGGTTCAGAGAACCGACATGTTGATAAATTAGACACATGTGCAACTCTTGGATATCTTTATTGAGGAAACGTTTCGCCACACAGTGGCTTCATCAGTCCATACAAAGGAGAATCTTGAAGAACAGGAGGAGAATGAGGTAATCAGTCCCTCAACCTTGAGTCGATGTGTTCAGTCCATCAATCTTGAGTAGAATACGGCATGTGAGCGGAGAAGCAGCTTATAAACCGTATGGCAGGAGAGGTGCAGCAGTCATAGGTGGTGTCACATTTGTTCAATGTGGAAGTAGGTCGTGCCCAAGAATTAGGCTAGCACATTCCTTTGTGGTACGTTAGCACAGTTTATAAGTGGCTTACCGACTCCTCCATCAAGAACAACCATAAATAGATCCACCTTGAAGGTAGTCGCTCTAATGAAGAGTAGAGCCAGAGATGCCGAGTGACTTTTTGGGGTTATCCTAGGTAATTTACACATTGTAGCACATGTATGATAATTTTACTTACGTGTTTCTGCACCTAAATAAACCTGCATATAATTGTGCCACGATGCCATGGTGTCATACCCGACCAGAGGCACCAACAATGTGCAGTCCATTTGAAAGCTCTTGTAGCAAGGAATAGGTAATAACAGCTGATTTTTTTATTCATCTAGTGGCTGCTGCCGTTACTATGGGTAGGTTGAACAAATATTTCGAGTTATCTTTTCAGGAACCATATTTACGGCCACAGTAACAAATGGACTAAGCCTGTTGCAAGATTCATAATTAACCAGCAAGACTGGTCTTAATTTACCCCCCCCCCATCTGTTTTTCAGGTCGCCCGAAGCCGCCCCCGCCCCCTAGGAAGGTCTCCCTGGAGGGGAGTCAAGCAGGTGATATCTACTCCCTCCTAGCTGACCTAGGCCATACATCTGCACGCCCACTCCAACTCCAGCACACTCCCACCACCACAGAAACTCCCTCACGGCCACAACGCCCACCCCCACCCACACGCACGCCCAGCAACCCCGGTACCAAGCCTGGACCTCCCAGACCAGATCCACCCAAGTTAACCAAGGACTCCGTCTATGCCAACCTTGGTGAGTAGCTTGTATTTTTGCTAATGGAGAGCAGGAATGGGGAGGCAGTTTTTTTGTAATGGGTCTTAGGTGAAAAGGGTTGCGTTTGTTTGAAAGGTGCACAGGAACGAAGAGGACAACTTGCGTTGCTAATGGTGTGCCAGTTAAAAGAGGTTGCTGCTTGTGTTTGTCAAGGGAGAAGGGTTATTTGTGTTGAATGGAGGAAATTGTTTATCAATTAAACAAGAGTAGTCCCCCAAAGAGGTACCTTAAAGTGATAGCCTGTATTTTTTCCCCCCATCAAAATTTCATTTGTAGCTTGAAAATGCCTCATCTGATCAGTTTCAAATTTCCAACACTGGTGATTTAAGAGCATTTGAAGAAACTACAGTAGGACACCAGTCACACCCACTATTGACATGTACCCACGAGTAAATTTTATATAGACCATTCCTGATTTTTGTTTCCAGGGAGAGCCTTGTTCTGATAAGCGAGAGCCTCATTCTGATAGTTTCCAGGGAAAGCCTCGTTCTGATTGGCTTCAGTTCAAACCTTCAACACACTGGTGTATCCTTCTTTGAATAAAGATAGGGTTGATATTGGGGGGTGTAGATGTCTCCTTGCCACCCTCATTTTTAAAATGATGTAGTATTTTTTCTACAAAATATCTTGCGTATGCCTTTTCTGATTGGCTTTAATCTTTTAATAGCTGATGTATCTCATGGAGGGGATGACACTTTCGGAGTTTCAGCTGTGTTGGTGCGAATTTGCTAAATACGAACTTTGATTTATTGATTCTATGCAATAATGCATCATCTAATGAGCTTCAAACATATAGCTTTTTGAAGAATAAAAAGGCACAATACTATGCCTTTGTTTGAAAAGCTGACATATTAGGTGGGAATATGGGTGGGTGTTTGGGTAAGAAATATTATTCTGATAGCTTTTTATGTAGTAAAAAAAATGTTTGTGGTTGCAGTGGTCGATTCACAGTCCCGGGTATGTAAGTAAGTAAGTAAGGTAAAGTAAAGTAAGTACTATTAGAAGGGGATGGAAGGGTGGAGAGGACAGTGTATGCATGTCAAACTTCAAAGAGTGTAACAGTTTTTGGTAAGAGCTTTATCATGAAATAGGGTGAGGGTGAAAGAAGGGGCAAAAGAAGCTAAAAAAAAAAAAAATGGATTTAGCATAGATGCAAGTGCAGATGGGTGGGTGGGTGAATAAATGAGTGTCTACACGTAACTCATCCCATGTGCAACTGTCTGACCTCTTGATGCTACATTTCAGGAGATGTCCGGGCTCCCATCACACCCCGTAAGCCAGGGAGAACAGCCAGCATCAGAGGAGAGGATGACCGAGAGAAGAGACGGGCCCCACAGCCTCCGCAGTTGCAAGTATGATTATTGAAGCGAATACTTTGGGTAGTTTTATTGTTGGGTTGGATTGATATTTGAGTGGGATTGGTAGTGTAAGAGTTGCACCTGCCTAATATGGGTCAGTAGGCTTACTATAGTGGGTTACATGTATTTACTTTTTCTCAGGTTAGCTAAAATCAAGACTCGCAAAATCGTAATGACACGATTGCAAACAAACCATACCACAGGCGGGGATAGAACCCACGATCAGGGTCTCAAAACTCCAGACCATCACGTTAGCCACTGGGCCAGCTAGCCACAATAAGATTCATCCAACTAAGTATATTTCTACACCATAGGAAGGTTAGCATAGGCACCACTGTGACCACAAATGCAAGTTTTTACAGACAAATCTCCAGCTAGCGTGGCCGCGACGAATTCAGACTTTGCTGATCCCTAGTTTCATTGAGCCATCAGGAATAATGATAGTAGGGCTCTGCTTTAAGGCATTTCGCCTTAGTGTTCTGCTAATATGGACATTTCAAATTATGACCAAAAAAACTCTACATGGCTCCCCCCACCTGACTTTCTAATACGGTCACCTACATTTTTCATATAGAAAATTAATCTCTGAATCTCATGAGATATGTTTGTATGTCACTCACAACATTTCAGTGTTTATTTCTATTTGGACTCTTTATACAGGCATTCAGTTTATATATTTCCTCTTAATATTGCACTGATAGTAACATAACTTGTGTATTTGTCAGTAATTTGTTGGAAAAATGCTCCAGTTCATTGAGTCATTTGAACTGTGATGTCTTGATGCTTCTGACAAGACAGCTATTTCATGAATGATGGTGAATGCATTTCCTTTGATGGGTCTCCTTACCTTGGTGGAGATGACCAGTGTGGTGTAAAAACAAAATAGTGCCAGTACTATCAAGAAAAGTGTTTGGGGGACCTAACAAAGATAATGTCCAGTGTGTTTGTAAAATTAGATTCAGGGAAGTAGATCAGTTATTCTATCAGATACTATTTGTGGAGTGACTGACTTTTATGTGGCAGCCTGGTGTGCAGGAACCAGGTCAGCAGACAGTACAGAGGCTAAACAGACACCAAAAGCAGGACAGCACAAGCAGCAGTTGCAGTAGCATCAGCAGTTCCAGAGTAGTCAAGGGTCCAGCACCAGCTAGGCCTCATCAGCCGCACCTCATATATAATGATTATGAGACACTCGAGCGAGATGACATAACTGCTCTCAACGTGAGTGATGGCTGCTCCATTGATGCTTTAAAAATGCTTTGAATTTTAGTATTTACAGTGTGCACAGTAATGTATTTGTAAATTGTAGGTATTTTTTTTTTTTTTTTGTTATATTTAGCTTGCCATATTTCCCAACATGTAAGGTGCTCTTTCCCAAAAAATATCTCAAAAAAAAGTCATCCTGTGCCTTATAGCACAGTATATTAAAGGTCAGGAACAAGGGTAGGCTTTGGCTTGCTGCCAAGTGGTGGTTTCAGTGCTGCAGTACCTGTAAACTAAACCCCTAACACCCACCTCCCTAAAAAACTGTTTCCTAGATTACTTTAGTAAGCAAACCAGCTTCAGTATTTGTAAATAATTTTTAGAGCTGTCTGGTGATGGGCTATGCAAAGTCCTACCAGCAAAGTCCCACAACAAGCTATGCAAAATCCTATCAGCAAAGTCCCATAGTGGGCTATGCAAAGTCATAACAGCTAAGTCCAACAATGGGCTATGCAAAGTCCCAGCTGTATAGCCCTTGTGGCTTAGCGCTTCTTTTTGATTATAATAATAATAATATGCAAAGTCCCACCAGCTTCTGCTATGCTCTATGTATAAGCAGCCAGTTACTGGCTTACTATCATTTTGAAGCAAGTGATTCATTTTGCTTGTTTATCTCAGAATGTGCCTGCCAAAATTGGGGGGGCACCTTATATGCTAGTGTGCTTTATATTCCAGAAAGTATGGTACTGTACTTGTTACCTAGCTCTGTAGATTAATATTAACATAGTTTCACTGAACAACTTTAGTGTTTGCTATTAGTGTAGATATAAATTGTACGTATATTAAAAAATTAAGAGTCCTTTTGCATTATCTAGTTTTGACACCTTACTCTTAATCTCTCTCTTTCTGTGTTCTCTAGCTTGGCAGACGTCATTATTTTTCTTTATTGACATTGTATACATTTTTGTTAGTCAGTTTTGTTCAGTCTTTGTATCACTGCTTTACTGGGCCTTTTAAAGCTAAATTGACATATCCTTAACCTCTTGATTCTGTCTTAACCCATAGAGGTTTATAGCAATTATTTTTTAATATAAGAATTTTGCTCTTGATTTAAAAAGTCACTTTCTCCTCTTGCCCATCAATCTTCCATAATGTTCTTAGTAGACAGTGATGTAGGCAAAGTTATTCCACTGCTGTGCTTCTCATGCTAGATCTTCCTTGTAATGTTTCACATGCTACAAGATGGCAACTCTTCTGTCTTTCTGCACTGTAGAAATGAATACTATGGCCTGTACACTCTATTAGAATAATTGCCTAATCAATACTAACTGCACACTGATGCCTGGCAGTATGGTAGAAGGTTGCAGTCCGTGTCTCCTGTTCTTTACGACACTCCTCTCCAGGTACGACCCAAATCGCCTGAAGATATTCACACACCAGATGGATATATTATTCCAGCACAGCTTCCCTCATTTGCTGTGGTGAGAAGTGATTCTAAGTAATATTCTCATACAATATTTGTACAAATCGCATGATGTATTTGTCACTCACAAAAATATAGCATGCAGTGAGACTTCAAACTCTGCTCATTTGTATAAGGCAACAGTGTAGACCCACCAGTGTGTCATGTTACAGATATCCCCCCTTAACTGCCTTATGGATCTTCCCCTCCTTAACGGTCATTAAACCTCTCGAGATGGCCATGGAAAATCACAGATTTTTCATAGCTTATACCAGAATAAAGTGGAACCTTGGTTTTTTGTTTGTCCTGATTTTCGATGCCCTTTTTCGTCAAAATATCGTCGCAGTTTTCGTTTGTCACCTTCATTTTCGTCCGCTGTAAGAAACATGTCCACGCCCACACGCATTCTGAGTCAGTCTGGCTGTTACTTGTCAAGTGAACATTACCTTGTTTGTTCATACGAAACATTTTGTAATACTGTAATTGTTTTTTGTACTTGTTTATTGAGTGCAACTGCTAAATAAGCCACCATAGGGCCAAAGAAAGTTCCGAGTGCCAGCCCTTTGATAAAGAAGATGAGAAACACGATAGAATTCAAGAAAGAACTCGTAGAATGAGTTACAAAGTTTTCTGGAGAAATATCACTACCACCCTCTACAAATGTAGAGGGTGGTAGTAGTTGTGATGGTGGTAGAGGGTGGTAGTGATGGCAAACAATCGAAGATGTTGAGAAGTCGTTGTTGGTGTGGATCTGCGAAAAACAGTCAGCGAGAGATAGTGTTGTGGAGGCGATAATTTGCAAAAAGACAAGGCAGTTGCATGCGGATCTCGTAAAGAATATGCCAACAAGAGTCTTTAATAAAGCTAAAACTGATTTAAATGTTCTTTTATCCATTAAAATTAGTGCTTTCTATTTATTTCTCATTGTTTTCTGTGTGTAAAACTATAGTTATTCTCTATAAAATGTATTTTTTGCTAGCATTTTTCGGTGTCTGGAACAGATTAATTGGATTTACATTATTTCTTATGGGAAATATTGCTTTAGTTTTCGTCGAGTTTGGTTTTTGTCAGAGACTCTGGAACGAATTAAAAACGAAAACCGAGGTTCCACTATAGTTTATTAGTATACATGCAAAGCAGAAGTCAAATGTCTACATATGGTGGAATTCTGTTTTGAATGGTATGGCTTAAAAGAATGACAGCTGTTTTAACAGCCATCTTTTCAGAAATAGTTTATATTCCAAGGGAATGGGATTTGATACTTGTCACCAAAATTAGAATCTGTGACCATATCCCTCAAGGAAGGATCCTTGACTTTAGTGACAGTCTCTGGATTCAAGCAATTGGGCCTTCCCTTCCCTTGGATTGAATCTGTTTGCACATTTTCCCAGGCATTGTATGGCCCTCTGGGTTTAGCACACTCCCCCTCCCCCATAAATGTAATACACCACCAGGTAATCAGGTTTAGGTGCTAGTTCGGCAGGTGTCACATTTGCATCGTATGTATAGGTGGGAATTAACCAACCTAAAATTCTGTGTTTAATGTGGCCCTGACTCAATTATACAAAGTGAAATAAAGCAGAACGATAATGCTGTAGTAGTTTAATGTTGAACTGGATGATTTGGATAACATTCAGCATGGACAAGACCTACTATATAATGTTTGGGAAAAAAGCTTAAAATGCTCAACTAAATATGAAGATAATTAAGTCGCATAAGCCCTCATAAAGGGCTAATGCATGTGGAACTATTATTATAATTATAATGAAAAAGAAGATGTGGAACTATTAACAGAATATAAACTAATAATGCTGGAATTACTGAAAAGCCGTAACGGCTTGACAGCTCCTGGAGAGTGAAACGTTGCCACAATAAAATGTCACATTAGTTGCACTTGTGTCTTTTTACCTAACAGAATGTAGACTATTTTGTGTTGTAGTGCCCGAAAAGTGAATCAACTCATGTTTTAGTATATATTTTAAAATACTAAATGTTAATTTTTTTCATCTGTAGATAACACAGATAGCTGTAGGAGCATCCACCTGTAACGTGGTATCTTTGTGTAACACTGAAGATGTTTACCGGACACCCAGGCGAGGCTATCAGGTGAGTTAGAGTAAGTTTGTGTCATGAGAAAACTGGCTCTTAAATACCAGGTGAGTCACCATAAGATTAAGACCCATGTTAGGTGTGTTTTTTTTTCTTGGCAGTTACCAACATGCTAAATATCCCAATGTCATCCACTGTAATAATGACTACACAATTCATGTTTGTAACATTTAGTGTTCATTTATATACTCTTCAAAGAGGTTGATATATATGCATAATATTCCCCAAAATACACTAATTGTAATACTATTGTATTTTGGTACCTCGCTTTTATAAATCTTATCATAAAATTCCTGATTACCTAACTTTTGTAATAACGTGAATTAATTAGCATTAGAATGTACCACTCCATAACCTGTCTCAGTATAGTCAGTAAGAATTAGGATTAGTCTTCCCAAAATGCCTAGGCATGCTAGTGGCTTTGTACTTTATATTTTGTAATATATAAACCTCACATTGTAAACTTTACAAAGAAATAAAAATTTTGAATTTTTGAATGTGTGTAGAGCTGGCATGAAATTTCTTGGAGAATGTGTAAAATAATGGTTAGCCAATTTAGTTTTGGAGGTGGGAAGTAACAGTGCCTGCTTTTTGGAGAAGTGGGGATATTGTATTTTGGAGGGTCATTTGTAAGTGAATGCTGTTAGGAAGAGGTGTATTACCTGGAGAGAGTTCCGGGGGTCAACGCCCCAGCGGCCCGGTCTGTGACCAGGCCTCCTGGTGGATCAGAGCCTGATCAACCAGGCTGTTGCTGCTGGCTGCACGCAAACCAACGTACGAGCCACAGCCCGGCTGATCCGGAACTGACTTTAGGTGCTTGTCCAGTGCCAGCTTGAAGACTGCCAGGGGTCTGTTGGTAATCCCCTTATGTGTGCTGGGAGGCAGTTGAACAGTCTCGGGCCCCTGACACTTATTGTATGGTCTCTTAACGTGCGAGTGACCCCTGCTTTTCATTGGGGGGATGGTGCATCGTCTGTCAAGTCTTTTGCTTTCGTAGTGAGTGATTTTCGTGTGCAAGTTCGGTACTAGTCCCTCTAGGATTTTCCAGGTGTATATAATCATGTATCTCTCCCTCCTGCGTTCCAGGGAATACAGGTTTAGGAACCTCAAGCGCTCCCAATAATTGAGGTGTTTTATCTCCGTTATGCGCGCCGTGAAAGTTCTCTGTACATTTTCTAGGTCGGCAATTTCACCTGCCTTGAAAGGTGCTGTTAGTGTGCAGCAATATTCCAGCCTAGATAGAACAAGTGACCTGAAGAGTGTCATCATGGGCTTGGCCTCCCTAGTTTTGAAGGTTCTCATTATCCATCCTGTCATTTTTCTAGCAGATGCGATTGATACAATGTTATGGTCCTTGAAGGTGAGATCCTCCGACATGATCACTCCCAAGTCTTTGACGTTGGTGTTTCGCTCTATTTTGTGGCCAGAATTTGTTTTGTAGGCTTCAGAGATGGTAAAAATATGAAGTGAGAGTGGTTACATTTACTGTTTGTTGATGATACAGTATACAGTACTTTTGGGAGATTCAGAGATAATCTTCCCTTAGCTTGGGAGGCTGCAAAAGTGCTGAGTCCGTCTCATGATTAGCAGACGAAGGGTCAAGCCTCCAGCACTCTGTGCTGAATGACCCACAAAAGTTCAGCTCAACACATAATAATGGCAGTTCAGATGACGTGCTATGTCTGCACCCTTTTGACTAGACAACTATTGCACGAGTGGTAGTGAATATTTCCACTCTTTCAGGAGTCATCCTGCCTCGGTGGGTAATGGCTGGTATTAAATTTTTTTTTAATTCATACTACACTTGAGTAATGAAATAATTAAGGGATGTAGATTGGACAAACTTGACTATGAAGGATGAAAACTAATATCAAAGTTCTCAATGTATGAATTTTACAACAGAAAGCACACATTCAGTATACTGTACAGTAGTTCCCCCAAATTCGTGGAGGTTACATTCCAAGGCCACCTGCGAATTTGGAAAAACCACAAATTCTGGACGCAGTTAAAAAAAATGCCTATTTTTATAGTTTAAACCCCAAATATGCCCCCAAAACACTTTAATTTCAAACTTAGCTTCATACATCACCCTTAAAAAAAAAAGTTAAGATAAACACGTATACAGATTTCCATTTGTTCCTCACATTAGCATCTTTCATTATTGCAGACTGAAGAAATAACCTCTGCCCTGTCTTCACGTCAGGAGAAGATGGGTCGTCTGAGTGTTCGACGTGCTTCAGCAATGACACACCGGAGTCTGGAGGACCAATACGGTGCTGTGATCTCAGCAAACCTTGAGGCACTCTCCAACATGTTAGATCAAGTAAGTATGACTTCTTAGATTTTAACGTGCCTAATGCTTTTATTATTGAGATTATCATAGATCAGTGCTTTTTGATGTTTATAAAAAGCATAGAATATTTCTAATATCTGACATTATTTAATTTTATATTTAATGAAATCCATTCTGGATATATTACCCACATTTTATATTTCAGTTGTGCAATAACTGGTTCCCTCCGGGGTATGAGGAAGTGCATTCTGGAGTCTCGCAATGGGAAGATGTCACTATAGATGATGACATAATTGTAGGAGCTGGCCATAGACTTTTTTATGTTGGAGAAGCATGTGGCCAAGAAGTTATTCTGATGCTAACACCTGAGACGAAAGTAGAGGCTCATCATCTGTTAACCCCTATGCCTCTTGCTACGTTTAAGGATGAGCTTCCCAGTCACCTGCTTTCGCACAAATATATTACAAGAGGAAAGTCAACACTTGGTAAGAAACATTTTGAAATCAAGATGTTCAAAATTGATCTTAACCCTTTCAGGGTCCAGAGGCCAAATTTCAAAGTGTGCACCAGTGTCCAAGAATTTTCAAAAAATAATTTTGTTATTTTTTCTTATGAAATGGTAGAGAATCTTTTTCTGAAGGTAATAAAACAAAAAGTACGAAATTTGATGGAAAATTGACGAAATTATGCTCTTACGAATTTTGATGTGTCAGCGATATTTACGAATCGGCGATTTTGCCGACTTTGACTTCCATTTTAGGCCAATTACATTATTCCAGTCAACCAAATTCTTAGCTATTTCACTAGTATTACTTCTATTCTATCGATTGAGCACAAGAATTCGCCAAGTCGACTGTTTCAACTACAAAATAGTGACTGGAAATTGGTAATTTGGCCAATTTAATGCAAAGTTCAAAATACTCCAATTTCAAAATAGGGTCCAGAATAAACAATGCAGGCATTTCTGGCACTAAACTAACATTTCCTCTGTTCATTAGTTACGTTTTCAGGCTTTACAAATGAATTCCATTTTGATTTTTTATGCGCATAATGAATTTTTATTCAGACCAAAAAATAGATTTACTGTTATGCAATATTGTAATAATTGTTAAAATAATATCACCACATTTGTGAATGTATATTAGACCCTCCAGCAGGCGTGTATTAGACGTTTGAGGTCATTTGTTTACTCTTGAACATCAGCAAAAATTTAACATTTCCGCTACTTTGAGCTCAGTTTCAAGTCATTTCCAGTACTAAAACCAATCAAAATCATCTCTATTTCTGTAACATATCTTCCATTGTATCAAATGAGACCAAGAAATCGCAAATACAACTACAAAAAACATACGAAAAAACACTGCAAAGTCTCTGTTTTAATCGAAAATTACGGTCTCGGTTTTTTCTCATTATGCACTGTGCTGCAGGATTTGTTTTATGTGGTGCACACATACCACATAGATGTATTCTCTCATATCTAGGCCAAAATTTACCGCTCACAGCTTATCAGAATGAGCCGAGCTCATGACTTTAGATCTACGGTTTGGACCCTCAACGTAAAGCTGTAGATCTGCGGCACGGACCCTCAGAGGGTTAATACAAGTATCCACTGTAGGTTATTGCATTATATTATTCCTCTGATAATTTCAATCAATGCTTAAAGGATTGCATCTTTCAGGTACAGTATGGGTCATGCCACCTCTAAGTTTAACAACTTTAAGGAGCTTAGCAGAAGAAGATTTTCCACAATTATCACATGTTCCAGTAGAGTGGGAACGCAGCACTTGTCTCCTCCTCCTTCAGTTAGTCACTGGCCTAAAGCAGCTGCAAGCACAAGGTGTTGAAGAAACTTGTATTGATTTGACACTTGTTGTTCGTGGAAGCCAAGGAAAGGGGCATGATTGTGATCCTAGATTAATACTCGTACCTCCCACAGAGACTGGTAAGGAACCATCCAGTGGCCAGTTCAAGTTTTAACTCTGACATTGCTATTTATATATTGTGTATTATTGTTTTTACTTTTATATTTATGGAGAAGTGCTAAAACCCTGAGGGTTACACAGCATCTAGGGGGTTGGGAATCAAAGAGGTTTGATCTGAGGAAGGGGAGGGTAGCTTCAAATCCTTGGATTATGTAAGAGGGTAGCTCCAATTACTTGGATCAAGAGCCCTTCACTAGCATCAAGGCACCCCCCATCCCCTCCCCATGAAGTTTACCAATAGTATGCATGTACAGGAAAAAATATTATTTAATTTGCATCATAAATGTTGGTTCAAATTTACATACATGAAATGCCTTATTCATGTTAATTGCCAAGTCTTAATGTAAATCTAGACTGATACTGTGTCTTAGAAAGTTTAAATCTTTCCTTAAATATTCTCCAATTATTACTAGCAGTTTTTTATAATTCTAAAGCCCAGAAATATTGTTTTACACAAAAATAATCAGGCAGTACTTGTCATCTTGGTATTGCAATAATGTGGGGGAGGTGCATGAGGCATTATATAGAATGAAAGGGGTAAAGCAGCTGAAACTGATAGGATCATGACAGAAATGTTAAAAGCAGGGGAAGATAGTGCTGAAGTGGTTGGTATTTTTGTTTAATGTATGAAAGAGGGAAAGGTACCTATTGATTGGCAGAGAATGTGTATAATTCCTTTATATAAAGGGAAGGGAGAACAAAAGAGATTGTTAAAATTATAGGGGAATAAGTTTACTGAGTATACCAGGTAAAGTGTATGGTAGAGTTGTTATTGAAAGAATTAGAGGTAAGATAGAGAGCAGGATTGCAGATGAGCAAGGAGGCTTTACAATGGTTAGGGAATGTGTAGATCAGGTGTTTACCTTGAAGCATATATGTGAACAGTATTTAGGTAAAGGTAGGGAAGTTTTCATTGCATTTATGGATTTAGAAAAGGCATGAAAATGGGAAGTGCAATGCCTGCACTTTAAAAGAGGGGTTAAGGATATTGGCAATTTGGAGGGATGTCTAAACTGTCGCATCTGAGTGCTTCTGCAAAGACAGTGATTATGTATGAGTGATGGTGAAAGTGTTGAATGATGATAAAAGTTTTTTCTTTCTTTTTGGGTTTTTCTTTCTGTTTAGGTCACCCTGCCTTGGTGGGAAACGGCCGTGTTAAAAAAAAAAAAACTCATTGTAAAGAGACTTTTAGTTGGTGTTTCAATTCAAACATTTGAATTTATTTACCAGAAGCCAAGCCCATAAGTCATTCAGCATTGTCATATCCAATGACTTGTTAATGTATATAATGACATGGTACAGAAAAAATTTTCATGGAAAACAAATGGAAATTTTACTTATTCTAATACAGACAGCTCCTGGACACAATTCCCAAAACTGATAAGTCTCATTTCTTTTTGGTTTTGCTTTACAGGTTCTCCTCTCATGTCTCTGTGTCAGTGTGCTGCAGCAGTAACATTGCTGCTTATGGGTGTGGATGATCCTTCAGAACATGCCAAAGATGGCAACTTCATAATTCCAGCAGCAGTGCCTTCACAACGAGCTTTTAACATTCTCTTGCGGTTGCTTCATCAAGAAAAAGCTGGGTCACTTACACAGGTAAGACTTATTAATTGTGAGTTGTCAAACATTACGTACACAAAGCCAAAAATATAGATATTACTGTATTTATAAACTACAGCGTAATGAATTACCTAAATGAGCCACTGGGATGCTACAATGCCTTTCTTTAATGTAAGAGTGGCTCTGGGGTATAGAGGTGGGAAGTACAGTGCCTGCACTTTAAAGGAGGGGTTTGGGATATTTGCTGTTTGGAGTGACATCTGAACTGTCATATCTGCATGTCTTTACAAAGACTGATTATGTATAAATGATGGTAGTTGTGTTGAATGATAGTGAAAGTTTCAGTTTTTGGATCACCCTGCTTCAGTGGGATACAGCCAGTGTGTTGAAATATAAAAATATGAAATAATAATATATATATATATATATATATTAATATATATATATATATATATATATATATATATATATATATATATATATATATATATATATATAAAAATATATATATAATATACATGTATATATATATATATATATATATATATATATATATATATATATATATATATATATATATTATATATTTTATATATATATATATTTGTGATAGCAACAAGACTGCATAATTTATGAAAATGCTGGCTGACCAGTAAATCTTCTTTCAACAAACTGGGTGTACCCCACTGAACTGACCGGTAAATGTCATAGATTAACTGTCTGGAAAAAAATAAAGTGAATCCTATTTCAACCAGAAATTTAGATCTGTTGGTGTACACTGCTGTAAAATGAGCATGTGAGTGAAAGTGTCCGAGAGACTCAGAGAGCCCAAGTTTGTAGTGAACATGCAAACTTTTGGGGCATGGGAGGGGGAAGGAACAAATCTGAATTACTGGAACTTTCCAGTTATTACAGAAATATATTCACGAGGTGCTAAACTCACAGGGGGTCATACAGTTCTTGGAGGAGCGGTAGGAAATTGAGTTCGTTCCAAGGAGGGAAAGGGCAGGTCCAATGCCATGGATTAGAAGCTCTTCCCTATCATGAAGGAACCTTCCTTGGGATGGAACTCCCAGGGACAAAAGGGAAAAGTATGGTACAGGATGAACATAAAAGGTTTTTGTTTTAATTTTATTTACAAAGAACTAGGACCATTTGGTTAATTCAGTGCTTTAAACACACTGATGCAATCAAATTTTTTACATTCCCCAATCCATATTTGTAAGTGTCAACAAATTTTTATATTATAATTATAATCAAACCAAGCTCTAAACTAACAAGGGTCATACAGTGCTGCAGGGTAGGGTGTGCTAAAGGTTTAATATGCTTGATCAGACACTAGTGAAGGTGGAGAGTATAAGAGGTGGAGTTAGTAAGAGCAGTGTGAAGTGCTCAAGGAAGTATAATTAAAGTTTAGGCAATAAATCTGTTGCTGTCAAAGAGGGAGTGAAGATATAAAGTAAGGGTGGTGGTGGTGATGACATGCGGTAAATCCTGCATGCTCGCTGGTAGACAGGACAGCCGAATAGAATATGGCAATCTGAAATTGGTACCTGACAATTTTCAGAGTGGAACTGGCCGCCTCTCCATGGGATACCCATGAGCGAGATGTAAGTGCCCAATGCAAAGACGGGCAAGCATAGTCTCCCAGCTACGACTTTGATGATATGAAGACCGGAATCCTAAACACACCTTGATGAAATATAATTTATGTATCAGCTCGGCCGACAGTTGTGAAGGTGGCTTGAGATTACAGCAAAATAATCTTGAGAATCAGATACCCCTATATGAAACGTCAAGGTTATGAAACACTGACTGTGCCACAGAGTCTACCTGCTCACTGCCCTGAACATCCACATGACCCAGTAGAAAATGATTTGTGTTTTTACTATAAATGTGGCACAACCAAAGTTGTATATGAAGAACTAGAGTATGAGGTGAATTAAATATTTCCCACAAGAAATGATGTAAATCCAATTAATCCATTTCAGACACCCAAAAATATTAACAAAAAATACATTTATAGAGAATAAATATAGTGTTGCATCTCTTCAGTGGTTAATTCTTCCCTGTGGTCATCCACCAACTCTTCCACATCCTGGCCACTCTCATCCAACGCCATGGACTTCCCCAAAGCCTCAGTCGATTCCACAACAGGCATAGGGTTGTCAAGTTTACACTAACTTGAGTTAGTAATAGAACTAGGCATTAAAAAACACAATAAAAGGTAAAATACACAGTACATTCATCAGTTACCTTAAAATATTTGTAGTCTTAATGTAGGACGAGAGGTGAGTAGTACAGTGGACCTTCGGTTAACACCTGGATTGGATAACGCCTCGGTTTGGCATGAAAAAATTTGCTCGGATAACACCTAAAATCTCATATAGGAGCTTTCGTCCCGAACGTGTTGGCACAGCGGCCTGAGCAGGCCCAGCCACTCACCCCATGTACCAGCCAGTATGCCGTTGTTTACAAAGCCCTTGAGGACGATTCCGCGTGTACATGCGATATATTTTGTATTATTCCATTGTTTTTGGTGCTTGTAACTGCTAAATAAACCACCATGGGCCCCAAGAAAGCTTCTAGTGCCAACCCTATGGTAAAGAATGTGAGAAACACATAATTTAAGAAAAAGTTTGTAGAAAAATAAGAAAGTGGTGGTGGTAGAGGGTAGTAGTGATGGGTGGTGGTAGTGATGGTGGTAGAGGGTGGTAGCAATGGTGGTAGAGGATGGTAGTGATGGTGGTGGTAGAGGGTGCTAGTGGTTGTGATGGTGTTATGGTATGATAAGGCACAGTGAGGCTGCCAGTTTTGACAAAAAAGCAGCTGAAAAAATGTGCAGGACTTTAAGGGTACATAGAGGCTAAAAAATTAAAACCCCACTAGTGTTCAGTTGTGACAAAATAGGCCTGTTTAGGAAGAAAATGCCAAACAGGACCTACATTACTCAGGAGGAAAAGGCACTCCCAGGACACAAGCCAGAAAAGGACTTCTTACCTGAAGTCTTTATAGAAGGGGATTTCCCTTCCAAACAGTAGAACATCTTCATCCTCTGCCTTCCTCCCATCTCATCACTCATCAACAAGTCCACAATAAAGGTAAGCGTGATGTTATTATTGTTTAATTTGTCATGTATCATTGTTTTCTGTGTAGGGAAATGTATATTTCATGTAAAAAAAATTATTTTGTTTAACCCTTTTAGGGTTTTGGCCGTACTAATACGGCTTACGACCCAGGGTTTTTGACGTACTAGTACGCCTATATTCTAGCGCCCTCAAATCTAGTGGGAGAAAGCTGGTAGGCCTGTATATGAAAGAATGGGTCTATGTGGTCAGTGTGCACAGTATAAAAAAATCCTGCAGCACACAGTGCATAATGAGAAAAAAAACTTTGACCATTTTTTTGGGGGGGGAATAAAACAGCGACTTTGCACTGTATTTTCGTATGGTATTTATTGTTGTATTCTAGTTTTCTTGGTCTCATTTTATAGAATGGAAGATATATTACAGAAATTGAGATGATTTTGACTGGTTTTACAATGAAAAGTATCTTGAAATTGAGCTCAAAGTAGCAGAAATGTTCGATTTTTACCAAAGTTCAAAAGTAAACAAATCATGCCAAGCGTCCAATACACGTCAACTGGTGAGTCTAATATTCTTTTGCAAGTGCACCAATATTATTTATACCAATTTTTACACTAATGCAGTACTCTGCATAAAAGTAAATCTTCTATTTTTTTTGTGAGAATAAAAATTCAAAGTGGAAAGCAAAAGAATGTAAGAGGGGCCTTGAGACGTGACTAATGAACAGAGGATATGTCATTTTAGTGCCAGGAATGTCTTTCTTGTTTATTATGGACCCTATTCGGAAATTGACATCTTTTGAAATTTGTGTGAAATTGGCAAAATTGCTAAATTCTGACCACTGTACTGGATAGTTGAAATTGATAAATGGGTGGTTTCTTGCACTCATTCGATAGAAAAAATGGAGTTCTAGCGAAATATTCATGTTTTTTGTCAACCAGTACAGTGGAATTGGCCGAAAATGGGCCTCAAATTGGGCAAAATCACCGATGTGTAAACATCGCCGAGACCGCTAACTTCACGAGAGTATAATTCCGTAAGTTTTCCATCAAATTTCAAACTTTTGGTGTCATTATGATCGGGAAAAGATTCCCTATCTTTACATAAGAGAATTTTTTTTTTTTTTTTTTTTTTTTGAAATTTGGCCGACCCTGAGAACGAGTCTTGGAGAGGGCCTGTCGACCCTCAAAGGGTTAATACTTTCGGGTATCTGGAACGGATTACTTGGATTTCCATTATTTCTTATGGGGAAAATTAATTCGGTTAAAGGCTAGCTCTCTGGAATGGATTAAAGGCGTCAACCGAGGGTCCACTGTACTTATTTGTAGGAAGTCAGGTGTAGGTAGCCGGTAAATGTAGGTATGTAGTCTGCCTGGGCTACATAGCTACACAATATTTAATACAGCCGAGAGCCATATTATTACCATCGACATATCGTGTTCACCGAGTTTAATCGTTTCTAACAACTACCTTTAGACGCCATCATAAACAAAGAGTGAAGTAATGAATAATTCATGCTGAGAATTGTAAACAAAAGCGTTTATGTATTAAGAAGGTGACTGGGTCAATGCAGAGTCATACACGTTTTCTCTGGTGCTGGACCAGAGAAAACGTAATGTTTTCCGTCCACCTGAATACCACCCCTCCATAGCATATAAACATTGCATGTTCATATGCTGTATAATGTGTTTCTTATATAATTTTGAAGAAAATACACCTGCCATCCGACTTACGACCGAGTTCGGTTCCGAGAAACCGGTCGTAAGTCGAACCTTACTACTGAATATCAACAAAACATTTTTGTAATGACTTTATTTTATTGTTTTATTTTGGTATTTCATGTTTCACTTTACTTTTTTATGCTGTTAGTACTGTATTTTATACTGTAAGGTTTAGGATAAACACAGTGTACAACACAAATAGTTGTTTATTTCCCAGAAATTTGGCATA